CCCAGCTCCAGGTTGAGCTGTTGTTCAGCATCTTAGCTGTAGAGGGCAGTGTCACTGGCCCTCATATGTGGGATCCGAACCGGGGCCCTCTGGCATTCCAAGCCAGTTCTTAACCATCGCGACACTCGGCGGGCCCAGATTTCATTCTTTTTTATGGCAGAGTAATACTGCGTTGTATAAATGTACTACAATTTCTTTATCCAGTCATTCAATAATTCCTCTTTATCCTTAAAGATCCAGCTCCTATGTCACCTCCTTCAGGTTTTCACCCCATGCTGTCCATACTCCTATTGGGTTGTCGGAAAAGTCATGACGTATTTTTTTCTGTTTTTCCTTGCAAAAATGCATCATGACTTTTCCAACAACCCAATATAATAGGGTCATTAGTTTGTACCATAATCATTTATGTAACGATGTGATGGAAGAGCATACAGCAGGTTTTGATGATAAACAACCCTGGTTTAGGAGCCTACCTCAGCCATTTACTAGCTGTGTGACCCTGAGCAACTTGCTTGACTTCTCTGAACTTCTGCCTCCTCCTCTATAAACTGGAGAACAGAATATGTACCTCATGGGGTGAAGGGGGGGGGTGGTTGCAAAGATCAAGCAAGCTAACATAAGTAAAGTGCCTCTAGCACAGGGGCTGGCACATAGTAGGGTTTTGAACATCTCACCCTTTCCTACTACCTGGCTATCTGTGTTCCCTGCTGACTGTAAGCTTCTGGAAGGCAGAGACTACATTGTATTAGACACCCCTCCACAATTAACAGTGCCCAAAACATAACAGAAGCTCAATAAAGGTGTGTTGATTGATTCCCTTTTACGAGAGAGGAAACTAAAGCCAGGAGGAAAGTGACTGTCCTGAAGTCACAAAGCCATCAAGTGGCAGAGCCACATCTCAAACTCGGGTCCTTTGGCTCTGAATCCTCAGCTCTTTCTACCACACCTGCTGTCTCAAAGGCTAAGGAGTCGCCCTGAACATCACATCTGTCAGCTCAAACCGCCCTGAGCCTTTCTTTACAAGTCTCAAGTGAGCCTGGTGAGCTATCCCAGACAAAGCAAACCGGAAAACTCATGCAAAAGGCAAACAGGTCTGTCTCAGAGCAGAGCAATCAGCAACCTGAACTGAATCATTGTAATGTTCGTCCGCTTTGTACCAATGGCCTCCCACACATGGGCCACAACACACCACCCTGGTTTGAGGGCAAAAGAACTAATGCATTGTACACCTACCAGGTGTCAAACACTGGGCTGGGTACTTTATAGGGGCTACCTAATCTACAACCCTATTATTTCCGCTTTACAGAGGAAAAAACTGAGGCTCAAGGTCACACAGAACTAGGTGGGAGCCACAGCTGGGCTTTGTACCAGGTCTCTGCCTTCCCAACGCAAGCTCTTTCTACACATACCCAGGGCTCGCCTGCGAGGACCCTTGTGCTAAAAGCACCTGCTTTTTCCTTTTCTTCTCTCCTTTCCCCTCCCTTGGGCCTCCCAGCTGGTCCTCATACCTAACCACTCGTCAGGGTGCCCACAGGGTCCAGGTCTCACTCAAGAGGCCTTCCCTGACCACGCTATGGTCCCTTCTAGCTATCTTCATGGCACTTGTCACCACCTGAATTACTTTTGTTTCTATTTGTATTCCCCCACTGGACTGTCAGCTCCACGAGAGCAGGGAGTTTATCTTGTTCGTGGCTGTATTCCTATTGAGTCATCGGGAAAGTCATAACATATTTTTCTATTTTTTTTCAATGCAAAAATGCATCATGACTTTCCCGACGACCCAATAGTATAGTATGGTGCCTGAATGTAGTAGGCACATGTGTGTGTGTGTTAGTCATTGGGCACCAACAAGGTGCTAGGTGCTGGAGATACAGAAACAAACAAGACAGCCCCTGACCCCATGCAGTTACGTACACATTAATAACAAGATAAAAACCCATTATTCAATTATAACTAAATACTACAAAGTGGAATTCACTCCTTGAGAGACTGGTCATGGGATCCCTCACCCAGTCAAAGAGTCAGAGTTGTTTTCCTGAGAAAGGGACATTTAATCTGAGGTCTGAAGGAAGAGTCGGGTTTGGCTGGGTGAGGGTGAAGATGGAGGGAGAGAGCGGCCTGCAGCAGCCTGCAGGAAGGTCTAAGGGGAAAAGGGGCTGCCAGGCCCACAGGAGCCCAAAGGGGGAGGGGTGGCAAGAGCAAAAAGAATAGAGCAGGAAGGTGAGGTCAGATCCGGACGTGGGGAGAAGTTAAGATTAATCCTAAGATCCATCAACTGATGAATGGATAAATAAAACATGGTACCGACATACAATGGAATATTATTTTGTAATTAAAAAGAAATGAACTCCTGATGCATGCTACAACATGGGTGAACCTTGAAAACATTTTAAGTAACAAAGAAGCGAGTCACAAAGGACCCAATGTTGTATGATTCCAGTTATGCAAAATGTGCAGAATAGGCACATCTATAGAGACAAAATAGATTAGCACTTGCTAGGGCTGAGGGCAATGGGAGATTGGGGCAGTGACAGGTAAAGGAGGGTTTCTTCTGAGGGTAATGAAAATGTTCTAAAATGATGGTGATGGATGATGCTCAACTCTGTGAATGCTCTAAAGGCATTAAATTGTGCATTTTAAGTGAGTGAATTGTATGTTATGTAAAAGCAAACAAACGATTAGTCTTAAGGACTAAGGGGTTTCAGCCACGGAGTGAGTTGATCATGTTATTCAGAAGCATGAATCAAAACGTGAAGGTTTCTCCAGGGAACTGCGCTCACAGGGTGCTCTGGACAGATGGACCATGCAGGAGCCGCTTTTTCTTTTTTAAATGGGCAAACTGAGGTTGATCTCGGAGGTGTGTGCCAGACAATGAACATTTCACTAGTGGGCCCCGCGGCCCGGCTTCGCAGAGGTGCCTGGAGACCCCTAGGCTCCCTGTGGGCCCCACGTCCCTCCCCGCGTCCTGGGGCCTTCTCCACTCCTCCCAGCAGCCCTGGCGAGGCCTTCAGCGGGCCTGGGGCATCCCGGAGCCGCGCTCCGGGGCACCCGGCTCTCCAGGGGCACAAGGGCGGATCAGGAGGGAAAGGGAACGGCGCGGGTTGCCGCTAGGTCTTCCACAGGCCACTCAAAGCCGAGCACGCCAGAGGCCTCACATCCTCAGTCCGCCCCGCCGCCCCTGCGGCTTCAGTCCGCCCCCGCCCTCCGTCCTCCGCCTGCGCCGCTTGGCTCACCCGCCTCCACTGGGGAACTTCCACCCGGGTCGCGGCGGACGCGAAGCCGCAAGTGCGCCTGCGCCCCCAGACCTGCGCAGCCCCGCCCCCGCCTGGCCACTGTGAGCCGAGCGCCCTCTGTTGGTCACACGCGGGACTCGGGGTCTGTTTATAAGGGAACCCAACATGCGATACCTCCTGGGTGCCCCTTCCCTGATCCGACCCACCCAGTTGAAAAAGAAAGCTGTCCCACTAACAGCCTTTTTTACCTTAAACATCCACACTTCCTTCTGTCTGTTTCTACCTTTGAAATAAGCCCCGAAGGCAGGCTCTCCCCCTGAGTATGGTTTGCTACTAAAATATTAGGGGTGTTCAAGATCTGTGAAAAGGCTTGCTAGTGGACTTTTCCTAAACTCCTCGTGCTGACGACAGGAATTATATTTGGATAGGAATCTGCGTTTTGAGTGATTTCATCGAATTACAGTCCCATAACACCTGTCAAAAAAATAAATATGACAGTAATAGGCATGCTTCCTTTCAGACCCATCTATAATTATAATTGAAAAGAATACAAAATTTAAACTCAGAGCTACTGCCAGTATCATTCTTTGAAAATGAAATAATGCTATTTTATTAAATAGGCTCTCCCCACTCCCTAATGTTTAAAGCTAAAGTGCTTCTCTGAATTGATTTAAATACAAGTTTTATGTCCTGAAAGAAATAAAGATGAGTCTTTATCTTCAGACAAACCCCCTGTTCAATGATGCTGCTGATCTTCTCTCAGCCGATGTCTAAAAGGGAGTTAGGTTGTTAGTGGATAATATTGCTTCTGTTCACGTCTCTCTTCTCCAAGGCTTTTAAAACCTATTTGTAATGAAAAGGCTGATTTCCTTACACAGACAGGCTCCATGTGTAGCTGATTTAACAGGACAACTTTTTTTCTTTTTCTTCTTTTTTTTCAAGGAAAACATTGCGTCCTTGTGGCACCTGGGAATCTATTTTTCTCCTTTTAGGATAAGAGAAGTGGGGGATATTTCTTAACAGAAAGTGTTTTTTAGGCTTTTCTCCCTTTGTTTTTTCTTAACTCCCTGTAGAGCTTTCTCTCCCTTTTTTGGTTTTACTTCTTCACCTTACACACTACCCTTGCTCCAAATCAGGGGGCAGGGGTCCAACCCCTAAAATATTCAGAGAATTGCCTTGACCTTTCAATTTATTTTTAATATGTAAACTTAGACCAAATATATCTGAAAGATACAATTGAACCCGCATAAATCAGCCCTCTTATTTACACATGCATATTCAGGGTCACATCATTAGTGCAGACTCAATCAATAAATCATTAAGCTTGTAAAGCCCTTATTAGGAACAATCTGCAGTATCACCATCCATTCCTGTTTTCAGCCTTAGGATCACTTATTATTTTGAAGAAATTTCACAGTCCGTTCTTTGGCCCCGTCTCTCTTTTGTTCCTAGATTGTTGTGTTCCTGCATCAGAAACATTGTTTTAATACCTAGATCTCATAAAATATTCAAGATGCAAGCTGTTCACTTTACCTCAGAAAGACTCCACCTTCAGAATCACTTGTGCCTCTTCTGTCTTTTAGACAAGATTTTGCCTTTAGCAAAAATTTCTTATAAACATCCAAACACCAAGGAAAAAACCCAAAGTTGGATTGGCGTGGACAGCAATTTCCAATTTTCTTTCCAAGTCGTAATGGTAACCTAGATATTTTAAATAATTGGATTATAATACCTTGAACTTGACATCAACCTTAGGTTCTTACAGCTTCAATAGTAAAACTAAAGAATTCTTATCAGTCCAAACAGTCCCTAAAATGACACCAGGCTCATGATCTAATGAAAACCCAACCATTCTTACTATGTTATTTTCCCTTACACTGAAATTTTAGCAGATGAACACCCTCATGTCAGACAATACAAGATATTTACAGATAAATGGAATCAAAAGACTTTACTTGAAGTAATTGTTGTATATGTCACCCAAGAGTTGGCTGTCCAAGGGGCATGTTCTCACAGGGGAGTTTATCTACTTTCCTAAGAAATGTATCACCACATTCTCTTGATTTCTGACATTACGTCATTTAACCTGACAGCTGTAGGTTTGTAACCAATATTTGTAGGAAAAGATATGTTTTGATGCTTCTTCCAGTTTAAACCTGTTTTTAGATTTTAAAGAGAAATGATACATTTGCATCCTCTGATTAAATCAGGTTATTGTCTCAAAGGTTGACCATGTAAATAATTCAAATGAATTCATCACTTACAATAGATTTAATAAGCATAATAAACACTTTGAAGAAAACACTTAGGACCCTCGGTCTGCCCTTGCTCTCAATTCCATTATCTCAGATTTCCCTGTGAACAGAATGAGTGGTACCATGTTGTTCTCTTCTATTCAAAATATGCAAAGTTGCTATTTACCAGTTTGCAATTTGCATGTCTCAAATCCTGCCAGAACACAGGGTGAGGGCCTTGGGGTGACTGGTGAATGTGTCAAAAGGGGACCCCAAAGTAAAAAATGGAAAACCCAACAAACGGATCTTCTCCACCTCAGGATGCAGTAAAGCATAAAACCCTCACCAACCACTGAAGGTTTGTTTTTTAAGACAATGAAAATATTGCGTATAAAGGTTATGTGAAATCTCAGACATCTAGTGTCTTTTTCCTTTAATTGCTGGGTTGAAGAAGGGGATGAGCAAGGATTTCAAGATTTTTTATAAAAAAGAGCACAAGAGGAAAAGGGGTACCATTGTGACTATTTACAGCATACTCTTGAAGAGTAATTTACAGCCTGGATTCTAGCCTTCCTGGACCTCTGTCTTGTGTTACTGTCTGCAGCTCCATAAATCTAAACTTGCTGACTGGTAAATATCATTCTATTATTTCTTGGTGTGTTCTGTGGTCATACATTTACAGTGGCTACACATGAGACCACACCGATGATCAGATATGCCTCCACATTTTCATCTCCTAAAAATATGCTCAGTGTCTCATGATTTCAGATTATAAACAACATGCACACATATACACATGATTTTTTTATATAAATCATCTTTAAAATGATTTTTTCCCATAAAATGTATAAGTGAATGCTGGATGTGTATATGGTGATATTAACAAAGTAAGGAACATGCTTGGGAACATTCTTTTTTTTTGCATTTTGATAGCATTTGACTAACGATCGGTTTAAAATAACCTTGTTCACAAAGTGTGATTCTGTTTCCACTGACTATATCTGTAGAGTCTTAAGATAGCGACAGGTAAGAATTAATGCTACAGTTAATAAAAATGGAGACTGTACAAAATAATGAACTTTATTAAATAGGATTATTTGGAGGAAAAGGAGAGATAGAGGGGTATAGAAGAGAAGGAGAGGGAGAGGGAGAGGGAGAGAGAGCGAGAGAGAGCGAGAGAGAGCGAGAGAGAGCGAGAGAGAGCGAGAGAGAGCGAGAGAGAGAGAGAGAGAGAGAGAGAGAGAGAGAGGAGGGAAGAGAGGAGGGGAGCGGAGAATGAGAAAAAGGAAGGAAGTTATCCTTTTGGTGTTTCTTCCACAGAGAAAGGCTTGATAAAGTTAAGGGAAGCAGCCCAGAACAAAAGGGCATCATTAATTAAGGGAAACCATTATTCATTTTGACCAGGAAATTAGGTGTCTGGTCAATCAAATATGTAGTTAATAGTTACCTTGCATTTCAGCATTTATCGAGACTCCTCCAAATGCAAATCTCCATGCAAAGCCCTGTGTCATAGCAGAGGCTTCTGAACTCCCTCTCTCCCACTCCTGCTCCCCTGTCCTCCACTTTTTGTTAGAGGCAGCTCTGGTCTTGTCCTTGTCCTTGTCCTTCTTGAGCCCCCTTAATGGCTTCTCAGCATTCTCTGAATAATTACGCTAAACTTTTTTTATCACATCCTATAAGATCCTTCAGGGTCTGGTGTCTCAGGCTTCACTCCATGTCCCCGGTCCCCTGCTGCAGCCAAAATGGCCTTTCAGAACCTCAGATGCCCCATATTCCTTCCACCTGCTCCTCCTCTAGTTCCCAACTCACAGGTCTCTTCCTCAACTTCCCTGATGCCCCCATCTCCACTCCCACTAGACATTGAAGCAGAAACCCCCTCCTCCCCCCAGGTAGTAACTTTCTCCATGGCGTGCATCATAGTCTATAATTACTATATCTACCTTAGTTTGGATTCTCCCAGAAGACTCTAAAGCAGCAGTTCTCAACCTTCCTAATGCCGCGACCCCTTAATACAGTTCCTCATGTTGTGGTGACCCCCAACCATAAAATTATTTTTGTTGCTACTCTATCACTGTAAGTTTGCTACTGTTATGAATCATAATGTAAATATCTTTTTTGTTTTCCGATGGTCTTAGGCGACCCCTGTGAAAGGGTCGTTCAACCCCCAAAGGGGTCGCGACCCACCTTTGCTGAAAACCGCTGCTCTAAAGCAAAGATTCAAGAGCAAGTAGTTTATTTGGTAGGTGATCCTAGAAAACACCCAGTAAGGGAAGTGAGACAGGGAAGGGAAGGCAGCTCATAAAGAGAATCTTGCCCAACAAGTTATCGCCATGGGCAACTGAGTTTCATCCTGCTGGGGAACCAATATGGAACCCACACCAGTTATTCCATCCTAGGGTCATGAGAGCTGGGGTATTTACACATTGATTCCTGTTAGTTACTGGTTGAATGATGCTCTCAGGGATGCTAACCCCCTGGTACTACTTCTGGCCTTCCATACTCTTAGGCAAAGAGATGCAGGTGCAGGCAGTTGTAAGCTAGCCAGGTATACACTATGGTAAGGTTCAGGCATTATGGGGGCAGTTCTGCTAATTATATATGCATGTATATTTGCATACAATACATACATATTTGCATACAATGCATGCATATATATGTATATTGTCTTCCCCACTACAGCCCCGTGAGAGCAGGGACTGAGTAGCAGTGTCTCTCCCAATGCCTGTGCCTCACTGTGGTCCACCATTAAAATCACTCCCCCCTTACCAATACCCTCAGATCCCTGGTTCCTCTCAGCCTCTGTCACTCTCACTCTGGATGAACCTACCATCCTTCTTCTCCAACCTGCACCCAAGCAGGTTAATGTTGAGAAAATTACACAACTGAGCTGATGGGTTTTACTTTAATTCGAACTCGAAGGCATACTGGATGCTGCCTGGGAAAAAAATGACCATTTTTCAGAACTCCCATAGTCCACCTCCACCCTCACTCTCAGCTGATGACCTCATAGAAAAGTTAGACACCCTCAGTCAACAGCTTCCTCCTCTTCTCACCCCTTCTCCTTTCCTGTTACACTAAGAAAAACCAATTCCTCCTCAGGTTTCCCTCTGCTTTCCTAAAATCTTTGCTCCTATAGTTATCCCTGCTCTCCTGCTTCATTAATCAATTCTGTTCATTTTAAGCAACATACCAAAGTGGTCTAGAGACCTTGCTACTCAAAATGTGGTTCATGGACCAACAGCATTGGCCTCACTTGGGAGCTTGATAGAAATGCAGCATCTCCCATCCCAGACCTGCAGGATCAGAATCTGCGTTTAACAAGATCCCCAGGTGGTTCCCGGGCACAGTCAAGTTTGAGAAGCACCATGAAATTTCTCCACTTTCAGTCAGCGCCAAACTTTTATCCACTCATTCAACAAATGTTTATAGAACGCCTACCAGGTACCAAGCAGCCTTTTAGGTTCTGGGAAATACAGAAAAATAAAACATTATCATCGCTGTACATGTGTGGTGTCCTAGTGGCAGAGAACCACAAAGAAAGAAGGAAGACATGATCAGGACATAAATAAGTGCTTTGCAGAGAAATAAAATATGGCCGTGTGATAGTCACAAGATGGCTACTTTCAATCACTCCAAAGAGGTGACATTTAAACTGAGACCTAATTGACAAGAAGCCATCATTTGAGTTGTCTACACAGGCTGTCTCATTTCTTCATTCTTTCACCCATTCACCCTTCAGGGAATACAGTTGGCTTCCATCATCACAGCACTGAACCTGCTCTTAACAAGGTTTCCAATGGCTTCCCTGTTGTCATAAGCAACAGCTCCATCTCTGCCCTTCTCAGCATCCTTGGGTCAGCTGACCACATGTTCTTTCTTGAAAGTTGTACAATTTAGTTAGTCACCTAATTAACCCTTTCCTTGCCATATATTGTTCAATGTTAGCTCTTGTTAGAAAAAAAAATTAAAGACTTATGGGTAAGAGAAAAAAGGGCAGAGAAGATGAAGGGGAAGGAGATAAATGAGATTAATTTTATTCAAGCATAAATATGTAACTCCAAATCAGAACCAAAAAATCCATTTTATTATTTTTTAAATTATTTTTTAATTAGTTTCTGCTGTACAACACAGTGCAATAGTTATACTTTTTACCCCTCAAAGTGACAACCCCCTTCCCCCAATCTGCCACCCAACTCCCTCCCCCCTCATATCATACATATCTATTACAATTCCCTTGACTCCACTCCCACACTATACTCCACATCCCATGACTCTATATATATTCAATTATAGTTGACATATAATATTATACAACATCAGCTTCAAGTGTACAGTGCAGTGATCAAGCCTCTACACTGTCCATGAAGTGGTCTCCCTAACAAGGCATGTGACCATCTGACACCCTACAAAATATTTACAACATTATTAATTATATTCCCTGAACTGTCTTTCATATCCCTGTGGCAATATTGTAGTTATCTATTTATGCTGTCTAACCCTTCCCCTTCTCCCTCATCCCCACCCCCCTTCCATCTAGCAACCATCAGTTTTTCCTCTATATCTCTGAGACTATTTCTGTTAACTTTGCTCGTTCATTCAGTTCTTTAGATTCCACATATAAGTGAAATCATATGGTGGCATTTGTCTTTCTCCAACTGACTTATTTCACTTAACAAAATGTTCTCTAGGTCCATCCATATCGTTGCAAATAGTAAGATTTCATTCTTCTTTATAGCTGATATTCTATGATTTTTAAAAACCCTTTGTCATGTCAGGTACATCTGGAAATAAGACAGATAACTGCTTTGATCCAGCTCACAAAGGAAAAGCTGGTTCAACATTCCTTGCAGACCTGCCTCCCTGAGCCCTGCCTTAACTCTCAGGGAATCTGGGCAGGAAGGAGAGCTGGCAGGGCCTGTGAGGCATCCCACCAGACCACCTGTCTAAACTCAGTCCCAGTCCTGGAGGGCAGGTTGGTGCAGTGAGGGGTGTGGGAGTGGGGAGGAGGAAAATCATTTGCTGGAAACTACAGAACCTCACCCAAGAGACCGACGGAAGTTATTATTAGCCTGCTGATATACAGAAAGACCTAATTCAGCCCAGGGAAGGTGGTTTAGGGATGGCAGGATGTAGTGTACCAAAGTGTGGCTTCATAAATGTAGAGGACACTCTGAGTACCACATTTACCACACACGGATTGTCCAAACTCCTGACCTAGGTGGGTTTTTTTTAATTACCAAATGCTGTTAAGTCCATCACGAGCACACAGCTCCCACGTTGCCCTAGTGCTGCATGCCGCAGCTTGGTCCTGAGCCCACAGCAGTGATGGAACCACAACTCCCCATGCTTGCATGTGCCATTATAGTCGCTCGATGCCCTGTGTTTGAAGATCTCTGTCCACTGGACCCAAGCTCATCAGCTCTTGGCTCTCTGTGGCTATGGGGATATGGCCGAAGGCAAAGAAAAACTCAGAGGTTAGGGGATAGTTACAGCTTCATGCCCCTGCCTACTCCAGTAACAGAGGAAGGTAATAAAATCAAAAGAAAATGTTTTATGACACTTGAAAATTGTATGAAATTCATATCTCAGTGTCCATAAGTCAACTTTTACTGGAACATAGCAATGCCTATCATTTACATATTGTCTGTGTCTACTTTTGTGCTATAGTGGCAGAATTGAGTAGTTGTGACAGAGACCACATGTCCTGCAAAGCCTAAAATATGTACTCTCTGGCTCTTTACAAAAAGAAAAAACGGTTTGCCAATCACTGGTCTACAGAAAGCAGTGCGGATGTTTCAGCCTGGATTCTAGGTCTTGCATGATGGAAACCTGACCTACCTTCATAGCATCATCTGTAGTGCTTACCTTCACATTCCTCCTGTCATGGCCATGGTAAACGTCTTCTTCATTTAATTTTCATGCTGTCCCACCTCTGTGTTTTCTTCCTGCTGTTCCCATCATCTGGAAACCACACCCAATACTCTCAATTTGCTTTTATGCCAATTTCCCCCAACCTGCAAACAAGCCTTCCTGACTCTCTCAATGATAATTTATTTCTCCAGCCCCTTTTTTGGCCATAATTCTTTCTGTACTGTCTCCTGACACACCAATTTCCTACTTTGCATTATAATTATTTATGCACATGTTTTATTCCCCCACTCGACTATAAACTCCTTGAAGAATGCCTTGGCTCATTACAAAATTAGCATTCTGAGAGCCCTTATTTGCATCACACATAAGATCTCTTGTCTTCAGCAAAAAAGAGTATACTTATGACACATATAATTGGCACTTATCACGCAAATCAATGATAATGGGGAACAAGGGCAAGCTGGTTAATTAAAACCTACAGCGAATTCCTCCAAAATTTATTTTTGCCTTCCCTATCGCTTTACCAATGTAACACACACGGGTTTGTATTAAATTCCCTTTCTGCACACTTTGTAGATGTGTCACTGCATTGACCATGCAGTGATGGGAGCAAAAAGATCAGAAGTAAATAACCCACCAACTGAAACCATCAGGCCTCCAGTAATGGAAAGCCTTCAGGAAATTCTTTGTAGTGAAGGTTACAAGCCTCTGAACTTTCCACCCCCAGGTCTCCATAAAGATTTGAATTTGTGTCTGTGCCATTTGGAACTTAGACATGGAACAATCATCTTTTAGTGTGGCACTTGAGGCTCAAAAAGGATAGATGAATCGAATGTAACAAAGTAACATAAAACAATCAAGTTCCCTGCACATATGTTTCATTAGGCAGGCCAAAGATTCTATCGCAAACATTTAATTCGACAAGAAATGATAAGGAAATAAAATAAACATGAAAAGTAACCCTGCTTGCCAAAGCAACATATGTGTTTGGGATGATTCTCTGCACCATGACTAGTGTACACAAATATTGTGTTAAGCCTCTCCTCCTAATAGCCTCATTTCTCACATGCTCTTCAGAGGGAAAAAAAAAATGTGATGCTAATTTAAGATGACTTATCCTGCTAAGCACATAAATAAAAAATAGTTCAGAATCCAGAACATGACAGAACTCCCCTTTCATGTCTAATTAAGTACTTTTAATTGGCAATTCAATTGGCAGACTGTATATTTGGGGCTGGAGAGAGGAAGGCAGAACAGGACCCTAGTACAATACAACAGAGGAGATGTGGGGCGTGTACACTTGCTTTATCGTATGTGATGCGGGAATGTGATGTTAGGCTTGAAAACAAGGAGACTATACACATCTGGGAAGAAATTCTCAGCGAACAGGGCAAATACTAGAGGGTCTGATCATGATCATAAAATGTCATTTAGAAAGAGATTTACATTGTTAATTAAGCAATGAAGCTGATAACTGCTACTCCGTAAATTGTGCTAATTACCCCAGCGCCTTGGAAGGTTTTCTAATCAGCCAGATCAATAGGCTCCTGGTTTATGCTAATAATGCAGTGTCATCCTCCTCCCGAAGTGCATTGCTTGCAGCAGTCTGGACCCAGTACAGCTCCGCCCACTGTCCTGTGCTAGAGGCAGCCAGCATTCATCTGTCTGCCCACATCACAGTGGTGAGGCTGATGCCCGCTCAACCCCACGGCCCACAGCGGGGAAATGACAATCCCACTATGCACTGCGTCTCCATCAATTGTTCAGGAAAGAGGCTTGAACTTTTGTGCTCGGTTAGACTTTCATGTAGCTGCAGCCCTGTTTTTTTTTGTTTTGTTTTCCAACAATTAGAAGGATCACGTAGTCCTGAGGGATAAGGCTACGAAGGAAGACCTAGATTCAAGCCTCAGCTCCGCCATTGACTTAGTGGTATATGACCTTGAAGCAGGGCGTGCCAATTGTTTTGATGAGCCCAAGAGAGTCAATTCAGTTCAACTACTGGATGAACTTGTAGGGATTTTTGTTTGTTTTGTTTCAAAATAAGTGATTGTTAGTATGGTTCTGGTCTTTTGAGCCAGTAGAACCAAACTGCTATGTCTCCCAACACATCATCAGCCTCTTTGGGATGGGACCCCAGCATGACAATAAGCCATCTGAAATATGTAATAAAAGGCAAAGACAGTCTAATGTTGAGTGCTCTCAAGTGTTCACCTGGCTCTTGGTCATCTATGAGGAATAGGGAGAGGGTGCGTTGAAGGAGACTCTGAAAAAACTCATTTACCTTGTTGCAACCTATAGTTTCTATCTCCTTCCCATCAAACCTCAAACAAACAAAAAATCATCAGCTGGTAGCCAAAGTGGCCTGGTTTGAAGATTAACTTATTTGCTTTCTCATTCCTTGGTAGGTGTCCTAATGAACAGTCAAAATCCCACTTGGACAGTAACAGGGTAAAAAAAGAGAATTAGCAAAGGGCTTCGGTAATTCATGGATTGATAAATCAGTCCCCAAAGAACTGAAAGTCGACTGCACATAAACTTTAAGCAGCAGCCAAGGGAGGGTAGAAAGTCAAGGTGGGAGAGACGAAGCCTCACAATTAGGGTTGGAAACAGCTGGAATCCATTTCTTCACTTGGGAAGCAGAACTCCTTCTGTGCGCCTCTGCATGGGGCTCCTGAGATTTCATCGATAGCTCCCCAGTCCCTGCGGGCAGAACCTCTGAGTTCAAGGCCAGCTCCTGTGCTAGGCTTTGGGATGGGGCCAATTTGTTGAGTTGTTTCAGTGCTTTGATGTGTAAACTAATCATCTGTCATTGTGCTCTAATTAAACCTAAATGGTGCAATGGATTTGCTGTCATAGAGGCCAGAGCCCTTCCTGGGTTGGGGGAGGGAGGCGCAGGGTTTGTCCACTGAAAGTAGTCCTGCCCTGCCCTGCGAGAGCAGAGAGCAAAGAAATGCCAGACATGAGTCTGAAAAGAGCTGGAAAGCTTGTCTTGGTCCAAGAGGCTGAAGAAAATGTGACAAAGCAGGAACCAAAGTAGGTCTGTGATCTCTGATTTCCTGGGTGATGTCGCCCTCAGCATGAGTGTCTAGACATAACAAGCTCAGGTCAAGTGGGTAATCACAAGGTGACCTTACTGTTTGCCATGGTAACAGACCTCTCAGGGGCCAGCTGGCCTGGCATCGTCAAAATATAACCCAGTTTCATAAGGTGAAGGAGTGATTTCCACCTCTGTACCCAAACCAGATGACCAAAATGTACAAGAAGGGCAATTTCAGAACTCTTTAGAAAATGTCAATCCTCGTGACTATCCTCCCTGCCAAATATTTGCATTCTAACTCAAAAGAAGTGTCTCTAAAATTCTGAAGGGGAGAGCGGGTTCTCCTTATGAAAGAAAGCCAGAGAGAAGGGGCAGAGGATAGTGGTGGTGCATTGATATTGTGACATTTGTCATGGGAGTAGAGTCAACATGGTACCCGATCTGACTCTTCCCTGGCTTCAGTGCATCACCAGAGGGCAGGGAAGAGGATGTTTATGTTCCTCGCTGCTCCAACATTTTGTGAGACCTCAACACGGATAGTGCTGATTATCTATGCTGTTGGCACAAAGTAATTGACGAATCCCACTCCACAGAGACAAGGAAATGGGATAATGAAAAAGTTCTTCTCTTCACCCATGTATTCACTCAGCACTACTGGCTGAGCATCTAAGGTATAAGGCATGCTACAAGATCAAGGCTGTGCAAGATTCAGCCTCTGCCGTGAAAGAACTCATGCCCTCAGAGGATAGATAAGATGACCACACACGATTCAACAATTTCAAGTCATTCAATAGTAAATATACCTTGGAAAGAAAAAAATAGGTCAAGCATATCATATGGAACTGTCTGGACATCTACAATAAGGCAGTGTAGGAAAAGAAAGGGTGGCAGACGCTGCCACTGATCCCCGCCCTCCCCACACCCCTATATCTGCTCTCTCCTTCTCTGATAATAGAAATTGTAGCCTTAGATGGCTGACCAGATAAAAACTATCTTTCCTGGTCTCCCTTGTAGCTAGATCTGGCCATGCTGCTAGGTCCTGAAAATGGGATGAGAATGAATGTAATGTATGCTACTTCCATGTTGCACCTTCCAGAAGAAAGCAGCCTGTCTTCCCTTTCCTCTGTGCCCCTTCCTACTGGCTAGAACTTAGATGTGTTGGTGAGCCACCTTCAACCATGCAAACGAAGGTGACATACTAGGGATGACAGAGCTACTAGCTGGCAGGATTGCAGGTACCCCACACCATATCGGTTTTGACTGTTTCTACTCTTACTCTAACTTGGAAGCAATACACTATCATGTTTTAATCCCTGAAATACTGACTCTTGGTGTTTCGGATATACCCTAATCAATACAGAGTGGTACAATTCAAATAACAAGAAGTGCTGAGGAGAGGAAAATCATCATGAAAAAATTCAACAATTCAAAAAAATTTTTTTTAATTAAGCACCTATTATGTGCCAGGCATTGCTTTATCTCTGGAGATTCAAAAATAAATGAAGCAGGGCTGGCTGAGTGGTGCATTGGTTAAGAGTTGGCTTGGGATGTCGGCTCTGAGCAGCAGGGCGCCGGTTCAGATCCTACATAAGAGCCAGTGACACTGCCCTCTACAGCTAAGATGGTGAACAACAGCTCGACCTGGAGCTGGGCTGCCGTGAATCACCAGCGACGGCGTAGGCTGCAGTGAAGCTGCAGTGGGCTGTCATAAGCTACCATGAGTGGTTGACAGCCGGCATGAGAGGCCAGCAGCCGGCATGAACTGCCAAGAACTGTGTGAGCGGCCATCCAGTAGCCAGCAACCAATCTGCCTCACCTGGGAAGAGCGCAATGATACCAACGTGGGCCAGTGAAATGACGTCCTCCACAACTAGACTGAAGAACAAAAGGACAGCAACTTGTCTGTTCCCCTTCCCTAATTCCCCAATAAAATCTTTAAATAAATAAATAAATAAATAAATAAATAAATAAATAAATAAATAAATAAATAAAACAAAAATCCCTGACCTCAAGAAACACATGAGTCAGGCATTTAACGTGGGCCTGGAAAAAC